GCCTGTGCCACTGGCTGCTTCACTGCTTCTTTATGAGAAGCTGCAGATCAAGTGATTTAGGAAGCAAATAATTTTTAAGCTCTCAGTTTTGACTAGTCAAAATAAAGATAAATGGAAACAAAAGGTTTCCTAAATCGGGGCTATAGCAAATAGCGGACAACTGTTTTTTGTTGATAGCAGAGGTGTTGGGACAGGAAAACTAAAGACTTTTATAGTACCCTGTTTTTAAAGACAATGTGTCTTGGTTTTTTATAAATTAAAGTAAAAAGAAAAATTTAGATTGTAAAAACCATCTTTCTTCTACTGTTAGTGCAACAGGGAGACTTTGGGATGAAGTGCTTTGAGTGTCATTTGGTCTGATTGGTCTTATTGGTGGTTTGTCAATAGTTTTGCATTATAGAAGTTTAAAACACATTAAATATTTCCCTAACATGACTTTTTCATCCCAGATAGAAGTTTCACTGGCATACTGCGTATCGGTGAAAGTGTCATTTGGGAAACGCAGGTGGTAGTTGATGTGGTCCCTACAAGGGACCTCCAGTTTCAGCATCATCCAAACAGCAGAAGTGGGTTTCAGAGCATCTTTGGACTAGAACAGGGTTAAAACTAAGGAGAATGGCTACTCACCTTTTTGTTACTCTAATACTTATTGATATTATTATTTTCAAAATAAATATTTTTAAATATATGTGGACACCAGGCTGCTCTGTTTTTAATATTTAATGAAGTCATGAAATGTCATACCTTGCCTAAGAAATAAGTTTAAAACAAAAAGCAACTTAAATCCATTAAAAAAGAAAGCTTGGATTCTTTGCTTCCAGTTTTGTCCCGTATTATTAATTTATAGTCTCATTCTTTCTTCCTTCACTCTTATGAATTGTCTTACAAGAATAGTATATTCCCCTTGTCTCAATGAACTAAAATAAAATTGAATTAAGTTAAAATTGGTATTTTACAGAATGTGAGATTCTTTTCTTCAGAGAAAATATCCAATTGGTCAAGCAACGATTAAACTGTGTTTTAGAATTTTAGGTGTCATTATATTCATGATGATACCTTAGAAGGCATAGGCTTGTACCAAGCATCAAACTTGATTTTTATAATTATGTACAAAAAAGGAGTTTTCATTTCACCAGTTCCCCGTTATTTTCATGAAAAAAGAGGAGTCTTTATTTGAATCCCTAGGACTGGAAAAAGTTTTTGAATGGGTGGAATATTGCAGATAGCTGAGCCCCTCACTTGGAAGGAGTCTGTTCTAAGGTACCTTGCACAGCTTTGCATGGTGATGTAGTCATTCCAGTGAGGAATGCTGATGACATCTAGTGCTTAACAGATTTGGTAATTTCAAGACAATACTGAATTGAAATAATTGATACAATTCATACTTTTAATGGGATTACAGTACTCAATAGAGCATCTGATGAATGGAAAATGTTCCTGTCCGTAGTCGTTTTTTTTCACTCCACCACTGAAATGCGTTTTCCCAAGAACTGCTTTTCCCTCTGAATATTCTTCTTTTGATAGCCTGTCTGGATAATCCTTTTGTGAATTTGCTGCTTCTTCTTGCCCCAGTTATAACAATACTGTGTGAGGGGAACTAGATGATCTCTGAGGCTCTTTCCAACTCAAGCCTTTCTATTATTTCCAGGATTTTATAGCTACATTTGGTGGCACAGCATGATTTCCTAAGTGGCTGAGGAGAGTGGTTAGTGAGTTTTGGGTACCTTACCTTTCTGCTGAGATGTTGCACACCTTGTCTTCTGAAAGGGATAAATATCCTCTTTTGGAAAATCAGGATTTTTAAGTCCTTTGGATTGGACTCCCAAAATCAAGTAATTTGGTGCTCCTAATCACTTCTAGAAATGCTGTTTGCTCTCATTTTGGTTTTGTGTTTCAGCAGTATGTTTCCTTAGAGAGATAATAAATAACATTTTCATCAACCTATCTAAATAGAGATAAAATGTTTTAAACAATAATAATTTGCATTTTTAAAAAGTTGTCCATTTTTTTAAACATATGCAAGTAGTGAAATCCAGTAACAAATTTATGAAAGTCCAGTCAATAGCAGCTTTAGATCTTGAAAGTTCTATGTTGGGAAAGGTAATTTTTTCCATGTTAAAGAAAAGTGTGTGATGTCAAACAAAGATCTTTCATAAAAATCTAAAAGTTTTTACTAGTTCTGTAAAGGCTATTGTGAGAAGAAGGTGACAAAATGTTTAGTCTTTAGTCATCCATTGTGCAAAATATTTAGAAACAAAAAGGTTATAACTTTCAGGTTTTACACAGTGGCCTGTGTTAAGTATCAGTCCTCCAAGGTAGTTGAATTCATCAATAAATTGCAGCATCACTGTGGGACCTGGGAATCTGTAACGGTGATCAGACCAGTCCCTTTCCACATTTTGAATCTTTGTGCAGGAGCAATAATTCACTGTTCTGTAAATTGCTTTGTTGAATGTAGTCCCTTTTTTCTTTTTTTTTTTTTTTAACTTGCAACATCTGAACAGTCACATCACAAGTGCTTACTACTCAATATGCTTTGGTGGTCATCTTCAGTTGCTAATTTTGTAGATAAATGGGAAATTATTTGGTTTTAGTATGTAGCAGCTGAAAGTCCTACATTTATTGCTCTTGTAATTTTGCTTATTTGAAGCTGGACAGAGTTACATAAATAAATTTGCTGTAGTAAAAATACAGCACAATGCCGAAATCTTTCCGAATTCAAGACAGTTTGGGCAGGTGTGCTTGGATGGATATCTTGGCTCTTGTTGTAAAAATTATGCTGCAGCTGTAGCAAGGAGGAAATCTTGAAACAGGAGGAGACGTCTTAAAAGCTTTAGGGCAAAGTGCCACATTAGCTGTTATTCCTCTGCTTCCATTTCCTGAAACAACATTCCTTTGAAAACCATAACACTAAACATTTGTGAAATAAATCAAATTCCTCCATCAAAGCTTTGATTGCTACCTTGCCATGCTTAGTTAATAGATTTTTTTTCTCCCACAAAATATGTAGCATCTGTTGCAAGGATATGAACTGTTTGTTTAAAGTCTTACTGTGGGTTTGGCATCAGCAGCACAGCTCGGGCACAGCTTTTCCATTCTCTTCTTTGGAACAGACCTTGATGTACAATGTGACTAGAGGCTTGTGGCATACCTCATTGTCCCTCTTCTCTGCTGGGTTTTTGTTCCTTATACCAGCCACGTTCTTGCATCTCTTCAGCTTCAGGGAATAAAATTTCCAAGAGTCAAGCTGCACAGGGAAAAGGTGGAGGAGTTATGGCTCTGCTGTACCACTTCTTATGTGTACAGGGGAGAAATTAAGGGGGGAGGCTATTGCCTCCCTTATTAATTTTGCGTGGCAAACCAGTACAGGAACATGAGGATGTGTGTTCCCTTCCAGATCTGGAGAGGAGAACAAAGACAAACCACAATTCACACTTTAGATTTTTAAAGAAGCATAAACACTATTTAAAAAGGTAGTTTAAAATACACATTCTACATAATTTTCAAGATGCAAAGTTAATGTGAAGATTTAACTAATATTCTTAAAATATTCTTCAATGTTTGTCCAACTCAACTATTCTGTCCACACCATGATGCCAGAAACTCATGATACTCCTGAATATGTTTTGTTGTAAAACAGATAAAAAACTCTGTAGCTCTTCTTAGTAGGGGAATATACTTTTTCAAAAACTTCCTAAAAACTTCTCGGAGTAAGGATGAGTACGGAAGTTTACTACCATAAAACACGAGCACAATGGTGACAACAGGAAAAAGCAGGAAGCAGCAGATCTTTTGTTTGTCCTGTGGCATGAGAGCAACTCTATGTGCTACACATAAAAAAATCACATCTTTTCTGTCAGATAGTATTGGCTATGCTACAGGATAAAATGCATGTAAAATAGATATGTTTCTCACTAATGTCAAATGAAGTAGCTGAAAATAAGATGTACTTCTTGTGAACGAACAGCTTGAGATGTATACAAAGCTTGAAAGCAAGACAAAATCTGCAGTTAGTACAATCAGTGATATAAAACTGACCTAAAGATTTATTTTTAATGTGTATTTGCATTATTTATACTGGGCCTCCCTATGTGCTGTAACCATTTAAACTAATTAGAAGATACACCCAGATGCTTCTGCTTTTTAATATTTTATATAAGCAGATTGTCTTGGATAAGGAAAACAATTTATTATTGCAAAACTGCCTTTGACTGATGCTGTGTTGTTATCCATTAATATTTACAATACAATTATACAATGGTACAAGACCTTAGTTAATGCATATTGGGTAGTTTTAACACAGCAATTATTTTTTTATGTTTCCTAGTCATGTCAGTATAACATATGAGAAGACATTAGACCTCAGGGTTTTCAATCAAAAAGACTTTTCTTTCACAGAGTCTGTGTTTTGCTTAGAAAATATAATAGTTTTTTCTAAATGTTGGGTCTTTGATAAAATTCCATGTGGAAAGACTCAAGCTTCTGAAAATCTGATAGATCTAGTGCTGAAATTGTATCCTGGTGCAATTCTAAACATTGAATGTCCTCTTTTACTGATAATTCTGCCTGAGAAACACTGAGAATTAGATTGATAACATCATCGTTTGCCATTTCACCTGCTGCTCTGAAATTAAATTTGCATTTTATGTTTAGTATATTTAACAGAACAATTAGCATTTAAGTTATTTTAAGTTACTAACCTCTTTGTGTGTGTGTATGTATATATATATACAGTAAAAAAAGGAATAAGGAAATATAAGGGGGAATTAACTGTCTGCTCTTAATGAGAAATGAAAGCTGATTGTAAAGAAGAGAGATTGTGTGGTTGAACCCTTTCCTGAATAAATGAGCATTGCCAAAATCAAAATACTTGACACATGTAAAACAATCTGATTGTTGTATCTGTTTTGCCATTAGCTGAACTGCTAGAGACAATAAGAACATCAGAAACTTCTACTTCTTTAACAAATTCTTTTCTTTATTCTCCCTTGGTCATACAGTCATTCCCAGCACAGCACTGCAACGCGTCCACCCACAGTGAGCTTGCAGCGGACCATTTCTGTGGAAGGGTAAGATGATTCTCTGTTGAAGCTGCCTGTAGAGCTCTCAGATACCACTGAACTACCCACATACACATAGCTGTTCACTAGATGTGGTTTTGCATACCTCAGTGTTTAAGTCTGTGAGATGAAGCAATAAATAGTTTCAAGTTAGTGCTGATCCTTTCTCAATACTCACACTGAAAGGTTTGGTTTTCATGGAAATGGGCTTATCCGTCACAGAGATATAGTGGATACAATTTCTTCAATTCATCTCACTTGACTAGTGTTAATATTTACTCGTGTTAGCTGTAAAATGGTTACCACTAATCATGGAAATACCTAGTGAACTCTTGGTCTGTTTTCCTAATATATGCATGCATTTGTTTTGATGAAGCAGTGTCCAAAACCAAGGATGAAGAAGTACTGATAGAGAATATTAATCCTGTGCTGGTGTGTATCTGTGTATATGAATGTGTTAACTGTAGAAGCATACCTCTGGGTACATGGCTGACTCAATTATAACTAAAATAATTGGGTAAAATGTGAATAATTCACAACCACAGTTAATATCCTTGCATCTTTACAATATTAGAAAGGCTGGTATTTAACACAGAAACACAGATTTTGTTTGCGCTGACTGACATACTTTACGTAAAATGCCAGATATGTTTCTCCCATCACATAGAAATGTGGAACTGTTCAAAATCTTTAGTTGGCAAGGGCAATAACTTGTCATTGGCTGCTCTCAGGTCATGTTTCAAAGCATTTCTTTGTTGTGATAAAAGTGAGAATACAAAGTTTCCACAGAGGAAAGATGCCATCTTGTTGTATTTTGATTTCTGTTACAACTGTACTATGGTGCAGTGATAAAACAAAGTGGTAGATGTGTAAAATAATCCAGTGAAGCCTGAAACGGTTTTCTCAGAAGTCTCAATTTTTTCTTTCTTATCTAGATCTAAGATCTAAGATTTTTAGTCTTTATTTAAAATATGTTAGTTAGCTATGGTAATTATTTATTGAAAATTGGCCTGAATAATGAAATTGCTACAGTAAAGGTGCATGTGGCTTAAGGGCTGTCATCTGGAAGATAGTTTTATAAACAAAGTCCTTATCATCCAGCCATCTTCCTCAAAACAGGGCCAATTTTAAGGTGGATCAGGTTGCTGAGGGTCTTGCCCAGTGAGGCTGTGACTATCACCAGCTGTGGAGATGGCACAAATTCCTGACAACCATTCTCAGTGCTTAAACACACTCCTTTTGGATTTCTTTTTCTTTTCTCTCTAATCAACAGAGAGAGTCATAGTAAATTCCCGTCTTTTCTTCAAATCAACTCATGATGTTTGAAATAAAACTGAACTGCAAGAACAAGTTTGGTGGTGAAAGCAGTGATTTGTTAGTTGTTATTGAAAAAAATAAAGAGGGGAAAGAAAAAATTATTTGCTCAATGGAGATTTAAGGAAAGAAATTCTATTATAATGTCTCTGGCTTGGTCTACTGGGCTCCATAATTCAGGAGGCATCCTGTAGCTTTTAACTCCTACTGAAATTTGGAAATCAATCTATCTACATGAATTTTTAGATAAATTGCAGAATCTGTGCTGGACACACAGACAACTTGCATATATTGTGCATGAATCATTAGAGCACAGAAAATCTGCAATTGACACCACAAGTCTCCTGCTGTTCAGGGGGGCAGAAGAATATCAGCTTGTAATTATTACTAATCAACTTACGTGGAATCGTATTTCATTTCACTTAGGAAAGTGGGACTGTGAACCTATTCCACTGCTGAGCAGAAATGAGTAATCAGCTCAGCCCTAAATATTTCATTATGTTAAAACTGGCTTTATTTTAATGTTTTTGTGGAGCCCATGCTGCCAAGTGTGTTTATAGCTAACACAATTTTGAGATCAAAATAAAGTTCTTTTCCTTTTTAGGAAGCATGATTCCATCAGTAGAGTTCTGTGTTTAGGAGACCCATTTTATTGCTTTTGAGATGCACTTTGTAAACAGCTGCTTTACCTGCAAGGCATCCCTGGCACATGCTGACATTTGTACCCTGCATGCTGGCTCTGTCTGACTGACTGTGGAGTCACTGAAGGGATATAATTATCGGGTCCTATGAATGAGAAATTAAATTTGGGAAGGTTAAAGAAATACAGAGGGAATTGCGTTCAGTGGCATTTAGTCCTTTCCACACTGTTGATTATGTGATAATTGAGCTGGTCAGAATAGATTTTTTGAAAAACTTGAATAGTTTTTTCAATTAGGTAATGGATTCATACCTAAAACAATTTTTCTTTTTTTTTTTTTTTTTTTTTAAGGGAGGGCTTTTGTAGACTTCATGTACAGCAACAAAATTATTAGCAAGGTGGAAAAAATAAAGATGTGTTCAAAGATTATTTTTTCTTTATATTCAAGCCATATATTCTTCAAAGTGTAATAACTGTACATGAGGTTTACAGATTTTTATGTGTACAAAGGCATTAACTTCAGGAGTGTTTGAGGTCATTATTAATGCAATCTCATTATTAACTTCCCTAGTGGTTTATTTGCATGGTTTAAAACCCAAGAAAACTCTAATGTTTGAATTCAAAAATATTGTGTTTTTGAGTTTTTGGTTTTAATGAACAACCTCAGCTATAAGTGTTCAAATCAGGAAAAATATTGATTGAAAACAAAGCCCTGAGTTTTTTTTTTATTCTTGCTGTACTATTTCACAAAGCTGTAATGTTAGTGATGTCTGATAGCTATTCTCTCTGCAGTTGATATCCGCATTAAATTGTATTTTGTGTGCTACCAGCCATCTCTTAGAAATTGGGATTTCAGCTTATTTGATAGAGTGTTTTGACGGAAATATTACACCAATTTTTCAATATGATCGAGTATCTGAAATATATATAAATATTTATATGTAAATAAACAGCATTTGAACCATGACTAAAGGTAAGAATTTATTCTTACAGATATTACAGACCACTTCGTGTTTCAAAAGCTTCTTCTACAGAGTAATTTTGGATGCTTGCTACTAGCTCTCTGTGTATTGATATTTCGAAACATGGCTTAGGGGCACTGCTATTTTTAGGTATTGTCCGAGCCTTTGAATACTTCCTCTCTCCTGGCAGTGCATTTGTTTACAAACTGTAAAGCTGGAGCATTCATGGTAATGAATGAGAGCCATTGAATGCTTTAAGTAATAGTTTATAGAAAAGTGGTTTCAATATGGAACCAATAATTTTTAAAAGCAGAATGCAAAGCAAACCTTTCTAGTATGGAGTTGCCTGTGTTGGGTGTAGCAAGTGGAACAGAGATGCAGCTTTCAGGATTTATTTTGATTATTAGCATGTAAATCATGCACCTCCTGGAACAGGGAAGAGAGACAAGTAGATTATGTGAGACAAAGTATAAATGAACAAGCAGACAGGAATAATCATATCTCTTACAGAACTAAAGAGCATATTAGCTGTCCTACATTATTGCTCTGGAAATCAATGAGATTTCTCAAACAAAGGAGACATACTCCTGTGCATTTAAAGTAAATGTCAGGTGTCATGGTAAGAATACAGATTAGTTTTTCAAATAAGAGATTATTCCTGTATGCTAATTCCAGCTTGCTATCTGCAGGCAGAAAACAGTGCCTGGTGTGCAGGCTTTAATTCCTCTACAAAAGACAAAAAAAAGAGGACTCCTAAAGTCTGGAGGTCTTCCTGCAAAACAAATACAGTTGCACACGTATAAGCCAGTGCACTCATGCATACATCAGTCAGGTTGAAACCTGACTCCCAGTAGGTTCCCTTGTATTAAATATATTTCAAAGATTATGACATTAGACATGATGTGTGAAGAATAAATGCATTAAAATTTTAGTCAGTGTTAAAATTAGAATAAAGCATTGCTTCTACAGTTAATGCTAACATTCAATCAACAAGAAATGCCAAGGAATCCATAGTCAAATAAACAGATTAAATACTTTTTTTGAGCAGAATGGGTAACTGTACTAAGGAAAAATGGTATTTTATTATGTCATATGATAAATGAACATCTCATTAAAGGAGGAATGCTTAGTTGTTGGTATACCAACATTTAGCAAAATGAAATAGTAAGTCACTAATTAATTACAGGTAGTGAGAATGAACACTCTGCACAAGGCCAAAGCATTGTCTCAGTTTACGAATGTGATGTTGCTCTCCTTGATATGATGGTCAGTGTGACAGCAGTAGATAAAAAGAAGGTTCCCTCATTTTTGCTATTAAAAAAATTAATACAGGATAATACTAATTAACGTCACAATCAGGAATCAGACCTCACAATCAGGTCAGATGCAACACTGATGTGTATCACTGATGTGTGCAGCTCTTCAAAGCTCTGAGATGGTATAGGACTGGGAATTGGAGGAAGGAAAGTCTGTCAGCTCCCTGTCACTGCCAGGTTCTGGTGTTTTGGAAACCATGCAACAAAGGCAGAGGGAAGGAAGGGGGAGGAAGGCTAGGGGTAGAGTTGTGTCACATCATAATGGAAAGATTTTGCCAAGCCTAAGAGGGGAATAACAAGGGGAAGAGGAAAAGCTAAGACGTTATAGAAGTGATATTGTAATAAGACAGCAGATGAGATCAATACAGACAGATTTTTCTTCAATTGTGTGAAGCAGAGTTGTAGAAGGTATGAAACAAAAACTGTATAAGCAAAGCTTGGTTTCACCAGAACTCAATGTCTTTTTAAAAAAGTGTGTATGCGTATTCCAGGCCTTCAACCACTTAAGATTTCATATTCTCTTTTGTGTAATTAATCAGATTTTAAAACATCACACACACTGGCACATACTCTGTCCATACAAGCTTCCTGTTTTAAATGCTGTGAAGAGTGATCTCTATTTGAACTACCTTTTTTAGGTCCTTCCATTATGAATGTCCTTTGGTTGCCAGAAATAAATATGCAGTTATTTATTAGAATTTTTTGAATCGTGAGAGGAAAATGAGAAGTATTCTTCTGAAAGAGAAATGGCTTGATCAGCCAGATGATTCTAAGGTC